GTGGTTGCTTTGGATAATCTTTGATGCATGGTCAATAATACTAGACATCTCTATCTGTGGTAGCATAAGATAGGCATTTTAGTAAATCACCACAATATATATACGTACACTCGCATGCACGCACGCACGCACTCAATGTTAAACACAATAGATCCTCGGGTAACATCTTAATCATAAACTACTAATGATGTTAGAGTTCATACGAAATAAAAGGGCTTAGAATTACACTACTATGCACACAATGATCCACAACTTTTAGCTTACAAACACGAAAGTAACGCACGTACCCCGATAACTTTTTTCGCTCCCGCTTTCGCTGCGAACATGGAAAGTACACCCGTTCCACAGCCTACATCAAGCACGATCTTGTCTTTGAATAAGTGTCGATTATGGTACATGGAATTCCTGTAAGTGAGTGTCCTAACCTCATCCTTCAACATTTCCTGTTCAAAAGACATTTTCAGATATGGAAATCAGATTGTGGATATGGAATGTGGATACAGAGTATATTGGCATTCGATGATAGTAAAATTTTTGGTTTGGTAGTCTGACTTTTTAATCAAGAACAGCAGTCTTGTTAATTACAATTCATGAAACGATTACATATATCTTGTATAGATACCTTTTTGAAATACTGACATTGAAAATCACATAATATACAGTCTCCAGATCAGGGCAATCGTTTACTGGGCGTTTTTTTAAACATGCAGATGTTGTGTATGGCAGACAAATGGCACAAACGTGATGCCACCATCGTCAGAACTGCACCCCAGCCAGGTGTGCCCAGGTGAATGCAGTGCACTCAGGCAGATATACTCATATAGGATATTTTCAAGTTGATGCACTGAATCAAAGAGTAGAAGTACCTCATGGATGGCGAAATGCGCATATGAGTCGAAATAGTAGTCTTTTGATGTCATCTCTTCGGGCCTGATGTTTTTGTCTTCCACTTGGCCCTTTGCCGTAACGTCTGCATCGCCATTAACCACGGCTGGTCCATTGTGTACCAATGCCACACATCCTGGCTGTGTGACAACCTGATTAGGACATTCTGTGATCTAGAACAACCGTCTCAGATTAGCATAGGGCAACGTTAGGATTTAAAAACGCACTGCGGAGTAGGACCTAATGAATGACACGATCACAAGTGACAATGGCAAAACCAATCGTGCAATTAATATTGACACACGCTGGGCTTCTACTATAATTTTAACAGAAATTTTCCACAGGAAAATAAACTCCAAAAACAATAACATTTAATCGGTTCCATTATACACGCCGACAGACGAGTATTAACAGTAAATAACGCTAACATAAGTAAATGCAATACCTCCATTTCGCTGCTATCCGCCATTTTTCATCCACGCCGCGACAAGAGCGCCAAAAACACATGAACGGCACATTTAAACACAAGCACATAGTTTTCTATCGTCCGCTGCTAGTTAGCAGACGACCATTCTGGTAAGTCATACTTGTTCGAAGTCGTAATTAACTAGTTTTTTTTATAGCGTTTGAGTACTTCAGGTAGTTGCCATAATATTAATTAATTATAGAACTATCAATTCCATGCATTTATCAGTCTACGTTCCTTTCTAAATTAGTGATGTTAGGGCATTGTCATGCGAATTTAAACGGGATATTAAATTTAGAATAACAGATTCAATAAAACACAAAATAGCACCACTGTGTTATTAACATTTTTCCTGTTGAAATGTTGATTTTATTCATAACAACAATTTGTCTTGAAAGTTCATAGTCGGATTTCTTTTGAAACATTAATAACATCATTGTTCATGGTTAAATCCTTAAATTGTTTACAGCAAGTATTGAAGTAAACAATTTAAGGATTTAACCATGAACAATGATGTTAATAACAATTTGTCATTTGTCATTAGTGGGACAACTCAGTAGTTTTATTGAATAATCAGTGTTACGAATGTTGCATTACAGACACTTTAAAATTGATGATCATATAATAATGATTCATTTTAAATTTATAAACGACATCAAGGCTCAAGCATATCGTGTTTTGCTTTTCAGATATAGAGCTAACTCGCCGCGTGCATACCCCAGTAGGCTGATATGTTTTTATGTAGGAAAAGAAAATCTCAGAGACTTGAATTTAAAGAAATGGAAGTTAAAAAGATGGACACTATACAGTATGGTCCACTGGGATATTTTGATTTAATCCCTGTAGAAGTCATCTTTAAAATATTTGGAGTGATGTCAGGTAAGGCTTTTTGAGTAATAGCTTACAATGACCTTTATCTACATAGCAAACATCTTTAAGTTTAAAAACAATGGACTTAAAGTCAGTATACCTTGTTACAATACAAATCAGTTGTGTTCCCCAGGAATCATTTCCTCTATTTTTGTGTGGTGTATTAATAGGTACGATTTTTTCAGTGGAAGATCTAAGCTTGTTAATAATCACATCAAAAGCAATGCGGAACCTAGCAGAACTGTACAGAATGACACAGGAGTCAATCAATAGGCTATCCATTCCTAGGGAGAGTATAGATATCACACACTCGCAGGAGTATTACGTCAAACATTTCCGGAGTTTAGGCGAGTTCTATATTAGACTTGTATAAAGCAAACTACTATGTTACTATGTACTCCTGTTATATGATGTTTTCATGTGTAGAAAATGCCCGATATTTTTTTTTAATTATTTATATCAACATGAAATAAAAATTGGTTAATTTTGTCAATAGGTCTTCTCATGAAGCGATCCACGTGTCTCTACAGCACGAGAGATAGACTCAAAACGTGTGAAATATTTCTAAGGAGGGTATGTTGAGCAACATATAGCCAGACAGATGTCCAATCTTTATGCATTACAAAAATTCTCATAATGATTCTCTGGATATTGTCAAATTTTCACATATTTATGTTGAGAAAAATATAGTCAAACGACTAGCTATGTATATATATATCTATTATACATATGTATATATATATATTATTGTGGATATCAAACAGAAAGTCACCACAGCAAGTAGGGAGGGCAACCTCGGCACATGTCCCGGTAAAATCAGAGCCCCGCTGCTATCCAACATGCCAGGTGTCGTCACCGAAAACGTGAAATCAAGTTAGAGGCACATGTACGGTCTCGTGCGCGTAGTTGCATTCGTTGTTGGTTTCCGCCGCAGCTCGACCAGATTCGGCTGGAGGTGTGCAGCAGACATGGCAAGGGCGCGGGTCTCTTCTGCTATGGCAAGTTCATCAGCACCATGCTGACGGGCTGGGATGACCACGAGTGCCAGCGCGCGTTCCGATCCATCCAGGTCTCGTCCGACCTCGTCAAGAACATGGACATCACGCTCAAGTCCTCGTACGGTAGGTGCTCTCACGCTCGGTAATTGTACGCCGGTAGGTGCTCTCACGCTCGAGTCCTTGTACAGTAGGCTCATGGTTATCCTCCCCGATTGATGCTTGTTCAGTCCGACATGCCGTCTACACTGAAAGCTAACTTGTGGCACTATACGTGTCCTTTATGGACAGGTCTCTGCACTATATAGATATGGCTTCATTGCATATCTGCCACTTGTGGAATAAGGAACCACCCAACGTGTCCTTTATAGACAGTGCCAGTTCCATAAAGCAGAGGTGTTCGCTGACACGAATGTGACCATCCTCAATATAATATATAATAATATTATTATTAATAATAATAATAATGATATTAATAATGAATGATATCATATCATAAAATGTGAATATCTGCGTCCAAGACCGTCAGTGTAGCGAGTAGGGAGGCGTCCGGCCGCTGCGTGCACCCAATGTGAATAGCTACTCCCAAGACCATCAGTATAGCAAGTAGAAAGGTGCGCCCTCTGCAATGCACCCCCGTCAGTTACATTCGTCGTAATTTTCCAGGGCAGTTCCCGCGGACAGAGATGAACCTACGGCTGTTCCTGCGCAAGGTGTTCCTCGACCAGTACGAGAAGCAGGCGGACCGCGCGTTCTGGCTCAGCCTCATGCTCAAGCCGTGGCCCATAGTGAACCAGGCAAAGCTGCTCTACCTTCTCTATGGTCCCGTCTGCAACGGTAAGCGTGTAGGCACCGGTGGGGAAGCTGGGTTACTTCCTGTACTTTCTCTCGCTTGGTCGGTCTCTCTCTCTCTCCCCTTGTCTGTCTCTCTCTCCTCCCTCTCTCGCACTTTTTCTCTTTCACTCACTCTCTCTCATTCTCTCGCTCTGTCTCTCTTGCTCTCTTCGTTACCCTGTCTCTCCCTGCCTCCCTTCCTCCCTCCCTTCATCCCTCTCTCTCTCTTTCTCTGTCTGTCTATCTCTCTCTCTCTCTCTTTCCCCCTCTCTCTCTCTCATTCCTCAATCAGCAATGATGAACCTTCCCCTCTCTCTCTCTCTCTCTCTCTCTCTCTCTCTCTGTCTCTCTTCTCTGTTGCTTGCTCTCTCTATTACCCTGTCTCTCTCTTACCCTGTCTCTCTCTTCCTCCTTTCCTAGCTCCTTCCTCTCTCTCTTTCTCCCCCTCTCTCTCTCTCTCATTCCTCAATCAGCAATGATGAACCTTCCCCTCTCTCTCTCTCACACACACGCACGCGTACACTACAGAGGAGGGGATGTGGGACGTGCTGAGCTTCAACACGCCGGCTTCCTCTCTATATCTGTCTGTCTGTCTGTCTGTCTCTCTCTCTCTCTCTCTCTCTCTCTCTCTCTCTCTCTCTCTCTCTCTCTCTCATTCTTCAATCAGCAATGATGATCACCTGCCCTCTCCGCTGCTCTCGCCTCTCCCGCTCTCAGCTCTGCGCCGCTCGCTCTCCGCGCTCTCCCGCTCCGCTCCGTCTCGCTCTTCGCTCTCATCTCTCTCCTCTCTTCTCATCCTCTCACGGTCATCGCGTGTCCTCTCTCTCTCTCCTCTCTCTCCTCCCGGTCTCGCTTCTCTGTGCTCCTCTCTATTACCCCCTGTCTCTCTCCCCCCTTCTAACCATCCTCCCTCCTCGATCCTCTCTCCAGAGCTAAACAATCTCACTCCTCAATCAGGGGTATCGAAATATGAGGTAGCCTTCCGCCCGGGCCTCGCTCGCTCTCCCGGCCTCTCGTCGCTCTCTTCTCTCGCCCTCTCTCTTCCTCGCAGAGGGTCGCGAGCGAGGTCCGCGCGTCGTCCATCTCTCTCTCCCGTTTCTCTCATTCTGTCAATCAGCAAGAAGAACCATCCCCTCCTCTCTGGTCCCTCCTCACAAG